CTTCGAGGGGTAAAAAGTATAACTATTGCACTGTGTTGTACAGCTGAAACTAATTCTAAAAAATGTGTATTTCATAATAAAAATAATTTAATAAAAATTTTTTAAAAATTAAAAAGAAATAAGCCTCATATTTTCTGCCCCCAGTACTCACTGATAATTGGATTTCAAATGTTTGCCTACAGCTATAAATACTATTTTAATAAATATTTTCTATATGTGATTGGATATATATTAAATCATTCTTCTAAACTATTGGGCTGTCGGAAAAGTCATGATGTATTTTTTCTATGATTTTTGTTGCAAAAATGCGTCATGACTTTTCTGACAACCCAACTGATACTTGCTACATGAAGTAAAGCTTAAAACTATTTTTTAATCATAAAAAAATAAAACAGTGTTTAAATAGTGACATATTCCAATGCTCAAAGCTTTAATCAAGTCAAAACAAATAACATAATGCTACTCTTAAAATTATAATTACAAAAAATGCCTCACTACTAACAACTGGTGCAATTTTGGAACAAATTCATTTTGCAAATCTAACTTTGTTCTTTGATTGACTCTTAACATGAAAGGTAATAACAAAAATCTCAGCATTCCTCTTGTAAGAATAGAAAAATTCCCCTTGATTTCTCTAAATTTGTAATTCTCGTGATTCATTAGGTTTTCCAACATTTAATGTGTTACCTGCAGTCAATCACTCGGCCTTGATGGTAGAAGGAAGTTGGGATGATCTCACCCTGAAGTTGACCAATACGTGGAGCCCGAGTAAGATTGGTACAGAGTAAAAATCCACAGAACACATCACTAAACATGTTTAAAAAAAAAAAAAGACAGGAGGAATCAAGCTCAAAAATATCAAAGCTATGCAGTTCATATATATATTCAAAAATTGAAAAGAGTCTCTTTCCTTGTAAACAAAAACGTTTGTTCAGATATTGTTGGTTGGCTACAATCCCCTCCTTCTTTACTAACAGGATCACATTTTTGTTTGGCATAGCAAAGTGCCCAGCCCTGAAACATGGTCAGGACTGGTGTCAAAGTTAGCCATGAGCTTCTATTCCGTGCATCCACTTGCCTAGCCATCCCTCCTTCTCATCTTCTAGAACCAACAGTGGCCTCTGGGTGTTCAGAAGTGAGAAAAAGCCAGCTAGGAAGTTGCTGGGAAGAATTCTGCTTTCTGGATAAAAGGTTAGAGCCTGACAGGGGGAAGATCCTTTGTTCCTACCCTTGCTACCTGCGTCTGAATGTGGAGCATTTGCATCTACGGCACAACTGTGAGTTCTCAAGCATATGGATACAAACTCAACATGCTAAGGATCACAGAGCGAATGGTCAGAAATCATCTGTGTCCTTGGTGACGTTGTTAAATAACTCACCCACCATAAGGGCACCTATCTCCAGGCTCTTTGTGAAGTAAACAATGAACTCTTTTTTAAAAAAAGGGCTAAGGATTGAAGTGGCACATCACTAAAAAGGCAATCCATGTCCAATAAAAGCATGAAAATGTACTAAATTCCACTTTTAATCAGGGAAATGCAAATTAAAACCACAATAATATACCAGTTCACACCCACCAGAATAAACAACAGTGAAATCGGAGAACACCAAGCATTGGTGAGAATGTAGCACAACAAAATTCTCATACACATATCATTGCTGGTAGGGTTTACTAATACAACCATTTTGAAAAAACAGTGTGACGTCATCTGGTAGCACCAAAAATATACATCACCTATGACTTAGAAATTTTTCTTCTAAGTACAGGCCTCAGAAAAATATGTCCAAATGTGCACTAAGTTATGTGTAAAGAATGTTCACAGCAGCATGGTTCCTACTGTCCAAAACATGGAGACAATCTAAATGTCAGTCAACATAGAATGGAGAAACAAATTGTGGTACATGAATGTGAATGTGAATGAAAGTAAAACAAATGAACAAAAAAATGGACAGTTGCCCACACCATAGAAGCCTCTTAAAATGAGACGCAAAATGCAAAATAATACAGGAAGTATGATTCCTCTTATATAAAGTTACTAAAACTTTTGGCAAAATATATCATTTATAGATGAAAAGCTAGGCAGTAAAACCAAAGAAATGCAAGACAGTGACTGCCATAAAGTGGCTGCCAAAATGATAGTACCTCCAGGACAGAGACAGGGGCACTATGAGGGGAGCATCATTTTCTGGGGTGCCTCGATATTCTATGTATTTATTGATCCAGGTAGAATTTACATGGAAGTTCACTTCATCATTACTTGGCAAAATGTATGTTTGTGTAGTATTCACTTTTCTGTTTATATATTATATTTCACAAATTTTTTAAAGCTTCAGAAAACACACATTGCTTTTCTTTATCTTGTTGGTGGTTGGATATTCTGTTACCAAATGTTCAAAAGCTACTTTTACAATGATCTGATCCAATGCCTCCCAAACTTTTTGAAGTCACAGAGACACAGAGAAAGATCAGATTTGTCTAGGAGTTAATGAACGAAGCTAATCAAACCCAGAGACATCTGACCCCATGGACTTTTGACAAATGTAGGACCCACTTTCTCCTATTCCCTGGCACCTCAGGGACTGAACACTGCAGAACATCTGCACCTCACTCGTGAGACATCAGGTGGGAGGCTCTGTGCTCTATTTTGGGTTAATTTTAAGGAAATTATGGTGGTCCCCTAACAATTTGTTGTTTCCTAAGTCCTCACCCATCATCAAAGCCTAGATAGAATTGCAAAGTTTCATAAAGTGCAACATAGAAACCATTAACTAGAGAAATTAAAACTTCCCTTAAATCCTTGCCCTGCTTCAAAATTGGGAGAAGAATCCTCATTACTGTGGAAGGAAAATAGGCACTCTGGCCTGTAACTTAATGATCCCATAGATCCAAGTCACTGAGTTAACTTTAATAAACCGTGGCGCATTGGTTAAGAGCTGGTTTGGGACGCCAGAGGGCCCCGGTTCGGATCCCACATATGAGGGCCAGTGACACTGCCCTCTACAGCTAAGATGCTGAACAACAGCTCAACCTGGAGCTGGGCTGCCATGAGTCGCCGGCGATGGCGTAGACTGCAGCCCCTGTGGCAGTGGGTTGCCATGGGCTACCGTGTGTAGCCAGCAGCCAGCGTGAGCGGCCAGCAGCTGCCGTGAGCAGCCATCCAGAAGCCGGCGACTGATCTGCCTCGCCCGAGAAGAGCGCAATGATGGTGCTAACTTGGGCCAGTGAAGCGACGTCCTCCACAACTAGACTGAAGAACAAAAGGACAGCAACTTGTCTGTTTCCCTTCCCCCAATTCCTCAGTGCTGTTCCCATTCCCCAATTCCCCAGTAAAAATCTTTTAAAAAAATAAAAAATAAAATAAATAAATAAACCATTCAATCACTATGTTAACTGTCCTCAAAATATCACTGATGAGCTCTGAAAATATCTCATTTCCTGAGTAAAGATGCTACCCATATGTACTAACTAGATGTTTTATACAGAGAAAAAAAAATCTCTGCTATAGATATTAGATGTTGAATGAAATCAAATGGTATTGCACTTGTAAAATTATCAAAAATATACGTAATGTCACTTTGAATGGCCCCTATTTTGCTTACAGAACTCTTGTTTATACTAGTACATTCATAGGCCATATCTTCTAACACCAATAGAAAATTAAAACCTAATATTAATTTGTAATACCTTGGCAAAGTATCTCTTCAAAACAAGCATCAAGTAAAATACAGTATGTGAAAAATTTTCTGAATTTTACAGAAATGGCGTGTCTGTGCCATAGACACAGTTTAGTCCATGGTCATTTGCCTCTAGATATACTAATTTATTTTTTGCATGCATACCATAAAATTTGAAATAGCTAAATATTTCTTAAAAAGTTGGTAACATTTATTTTACGCCCACTTCACATTTGAATCAGGGCTTCCAAGTCCACTCATTAGGCCCCAAAGCTGAGCACTCACTGTTTGCTGCACTGAATCCATCGGTCTCCATCCTTCCCACAGTTTCCCTTCTCCGTGCCTTCTGTATTCAGCTTTTCATAACAGAACTTGTCAGACCCGGAAGCCTCTTTGGAGATGAGCCAGAGAAGAAAATCTATTTTAGTTCTCCTTGTTATCCATAACCAGTAGTGTGCCGGTAAATGTTTAACAACTAGTTTCTCAAAAAAAATCCAATTTGCAGCATTTACTCATTTCTATGGTGTAAATACCATTATGCAAATTTCCATGGGGTAATACATGGCTAATTTCAAAGTATCAATGTGGTGTTAACTGGCGTCTAGAATTCCTGAAGATTTAACGGTTGGCTCTTGCAAGCTAATTCAAAACAGCCCCAACACACCACTGCTTTTAACTTCAGAAACAAATTTAATCCCAGTCTTGTTGGTGGTTTTAAGGGTGTGAGGAATGATCATCAGCAGAAATTAGTGAAGTGACACATAGAAAGCCAATAAACATTCTTAGTCCTGTTTTATATTAATAGATACTATAAAATCTTAGTCAATTGAGATTTTATGTTGGCACATGGGTTTTGATATTTAAACCTCTTAAAAGACAAGTATGCCTGCCTCTATTATCTTTCTTTTGTCAAAACTGAAGCATCAAAAGTAAATCTTTCAGTTCCATGATATTTGCCAAACACTGAAAAATCACTCGTGCAGGAGCTCTATTCTCCTATTGTGTGCTTTCTTTTCCTTTGGGCGTGACCCAGCCCCAGGCAGCAAGGCAGACCCATTTCTATCTTCTGGTCTGGCCCTCAAGAACTGAAGTTCACTGGACAGGCAGAAGATAATATGTGCATTAATATTTAGGGAACATACTGAGTATCATAGCCACGCACCCGAATCTCTATCTCTCTGCACTTTGGAAAGTACCTGCATTTCTTCATTTCAAACTGAGGGCAGTGAATTACAGAATCTAAAAAATAAGGGCTGCTACTTTCCTGGGTAAAAAAAAAAACAGAAAGCTAACTTGTAGGGAAAATGTGAAATCCTAGACACAAAGTAAATTACACAAGTGGCTGGATAATGAACATGACTGCTACACTCAACTCAATCTTTGCAAGTGGAAGCAATATCCCTTTTCTTACAGCCATAAGCACTGGAGGACACTGTTCGGTTCCGATAACACATCCCCAGCTCCAGCAGTTGTTACCTGTGGTTTTGTGACTAAGATTCACAGTTCTCTTTATCTCACCCTTTTCTGAATTAACAAAAACAAAAAACAAAAAAACCCCACATCACTCCAAGCTGTACATTTCTTTCAGCAAGACTGGCAGAGAAGAACAATGTGAAGAGAAACCTGTGTGTGACCATCTAGCAGGAGAATGCAACCTACTTGCTCCCCAGATGTACTGACACTGGTTATCGCGGGTCTTGCACTCCCCATTGTAGCAGCGGCCCTGCGGACAGGAATACACGCGTTATGAGGCAGTTGGAGCCAGCTCTGTTTTGCACCATATTTTTACTGCAAGGTGTCCTTTTCTTTGTTTAGATCAAGTTTGTTTTTTTTTCATCCCATACGCTAATATTTTCATGTGAAAATGAGAATCACAAACACTTGAGAGAAGCATGAGAATAGCAGTTAAAATCTAAAATTCAGAAAAGACTTCATAACACAGCTCTTTAAATCCAAACAAATCATCAAATATTTTAAATTTTATGGTAAACAAAAATTGATGTATTTCTTTGGGTGATACCAAAATGATTTTTAGCTTCTTTAGTATGTGAATGGTTAGATTAGAACATGGCTTCAGCAAGAAAAACAAACAAACACAAAACATGTTATAACAGATTTTCTATATTTCCATAATAAACGGGCTGATATTGATAGTAATAACTCAATAAATTAGATTCTTAATTCTTCAGCCATTAGGTTTTTTTTTACTTGTCCTCAATCTGAACAATTTGTCACCAGAGTGAAATGTAATATATACAGTATTTGGTCTGACATGAAGCAACTCTGAATTAGAAGATCACTGATAATTTACTGTTATTTTGAATTGCGATTTCCCTTCAAAACTACATTTAACCAAAAGAAAAAAACTCACAAACTAATCCTTATAAAATTACATTTAAAACGTACAGCCTGGCATACCTGATTTTGATTGCATGCATATCCATCTTGCTTATGAAGATTTGGTGGGCACTGAAAAATATAATCTTTTTAGTTAATGTTCAGCATAAGTACCTTTAGGTACGTGCACAATACATAAAAGTGCAAAACAATGCAAGCATGACGAATATATAATTAGAAATGTTGAGAAAAACATGAGTAACTCCTTAAGTAGCTTATCTAAATTACTTGTATTATTGGTAAAAATAAATAAATTAGGTCCACACAGTGGGTGTTTTTTATGTTTGTTTTCCATGAGGTGGGCTACAATAATAACTTACATTCACTTGCTTATTAGAGTTAAAAGTAGAAGGGATTAAAATGAACAATGAAGGGAATGAATCAGCTTGTTATGTAGGAGTGGACACATTCAGGAAGTCATTTACAAGACCAGCTCAGCTCTGTGAAAAATGTCAAATCTATATTTGACACCCACAGTGCTCACCTCTAGGGCATATCCCTTAAGAAGATGAAATATCCTGCCTTGGACCTCAATGTATCTCCATTACATTTCTGGCCTCTCAAACAGACTTGTTACTAGAACAATCCTGATGTGATGGATATTTCTTGTTTCAGGTCTATTTACCAAATAATTGTTTAAAAGTACACTTCATTTTCTCTCCAAATTACCCTAAACAAATTAAGTTAAAATGTTTACTCTCTGTGCATTTCATTTACCACATTTAAGAGAGCTAAAAAAAAAAAAGAAAGAAAAAGTTCAAATCAAAGGCTCTGCAGCAATGTGCAAAGCAAATATGAAAAGGAAAAAAGCAAACAAACACAGGTATGGCAAGTGAATAAGAAACAGCAATATGCACTGAGGTCCTCTCCCTTGGATTTCACCTCCTCAGTAAGACAGTTCCACTCTTCCAATTGTTCAGCCCCAAACAGAGTCATCCTCTGTTTCTCCCACACTGTCTTTCTAGTCTGTCAAAAACTCCTGATAGCTCTATCTTCAAAATATAATCACTATCTGACCACTTTTCTCCATCTCCACCGCTAAGACCTGGTCCAACCCATCACTGTCTCACTTGGATTATGCAACTGATTCCCTGCTTCCACCCCAGTCGCCTTATAGTCTATCTAGCTACCAGCGTGTCCCTTTAAGAATGTAAACCAGACCATGTCACCCCTCTGCTCAGTGGCCTCCCAGTTTGCTCACTGGCCTTCAAAGTCCTACACGATCTGCTCCTTTGCTGCCCCGCAACCCCATCATCTCCCTGACCTCATTCCTACTCTCTGCCCCAACTGGCCTGACGCTACGTGAATGTGCCAGGCGTGTTGCCACCCCACGGTCTTTGCCCTGGCTCTGCCGTCCATCTTCCCCTCAGATGTCTGCATGGCTTGATTTCATACTTTCTTGGCTTTGCTCCAATACCGGCATCTCAGAGAAGGCGTCTCTAACCGGGCACTTCAAAACTGTGACCCCTGCCATGCTGGCATTCTCTGTTCTCCGTTCCCAGGGTTTCTTTTGTCTTCTCCATAGTCCTTATCACCGACCAACAATTCATATATAGCAGGTCCCCAAGTAACATTGTTTTGTTATCACATTCTTGAGAAAGAAAAATAAAAACTACTCCAACAAATTCAATCTAAAAAAATATTTAAGGCGGAAAAACAAAAACTGATTTCTAGCCAGGGCCATCGTCTGTGTGGAGTTTGCAGGTTCTCCCCATTTCTGTGTGGGTTTTCTCTGGGGACTCTGGTTTCCTCCCACGTCCCAAAGATGTTCACGTGAGGTGACTGACATGACTAGTTGTTCCAATCTGAGTAAGTGTGGGGGTGAGTGTGAGTGCGTCCTGGATGGAAGGGTGTCCTGTCCGGAAGGGTTCCCACTTTGCACAGCCACGTTAGGAATAGGCTCTGGACACCTGTGACCCTGACCTTGAATGAGTGGGTTGCAAAAGAATGATCTTACTTGCTTTTATTCACCTTTCTTAAATGTCTGTATAGTTTACATTTATTTTAATGTTTAATATTAGAAGGGTTCGGGGTCTTTATTTATAAGTTTGGTAATGTTGTTGTGACAAGAAATATGCCATAGGAACTTAACTCTTGTTCATATCAGTTAGCCTACGGTAAAACTGGCTTTGCTACATGTCATTAAAGTTCAAGTCACAGTTTCCAAGAACCTATTGACATTAACTGAGGACATATTGAATTTTACTTTTGTTTTTTTAAAGATGTTATTGGGAATTGGGGAAGGGGAACAGTGTTGGGGAATTGGGGTAGGGGACCAGCCAAGTTGCTGTCCTTCAATTTTAGTTGTGGACGGTGCAGCTAGCTCAGCTCCAAGTCCAGTCGCCATCCAGCCGCCTGTCGGCACCTTGCGGCTGCTCAGCTCAAGGGGGAATCAAACCGGTGACCCTGTTGCTCAGAGCTCACGGTCTTAAACAACTGAGTCACTTTGCAGGCCCCGAATTTTACTTTTTTATATGCCTATTATCCCATCCTAATGTGAGCTCTGTACAGAAAATCTCCATACAGGGATTTTGTGTTTTGTTCCCTGGTGCCTCCTCAGCACCTACAGCAAAACCAGCTCAATTATTACTGAGTAGGTGCTCAATTACTACTGGCTGGCTGAGAAAATACATGAGTGACCCACACAGATACAATTAAGTTATTCTATTCTGCACCTGCCAAGCTGTTTATGAAGTTCACCAAAGAAAGATAACAGAACAAATTTAGAATTGCTAAGAAGCAGTAACTTACTAAGGAGCATATTGAGAAAAATTGCTTTGGTTCTATATCTTTCCAAAGAATAACTAATTCTCATATAAACTTTTATTGACCACAACTTTTCATTCAACCTGATGATGACTACTCAAAGGATGTAATTATCAGCACTGAAACCTGGTGTACTGGGCCAACGACACAAAAACAGAGCTCCTACAGCCTCTTTCATCCATCCAAATCCACTCAAAGCACAATCATTATCTTACTAATCAACTAACATTAATTACTCACTTACTCCAAGATAAATACAACCACACTGAACAAAAATGCAAAAGAAATGCTGCTACCTGGCACATCAGGGACTACAATTAATTTGTCATCTTTGAGTTTTGTGATGTTTCAATAGGAAAAAACTTGCAGAATTCTTTACTAATGAAAAAAAAATGCCCTTGCTATAAACTCATAGCTACATGCAAGATTTGTCATCAATTTACTTTTAGTTTAGGCTGATAAAAGCCAGTTGTGTATCGCTAAAATGTTTAATATGGGAAATTATGGAATGTCTTATATTCTCTGGAGACATTTCAAATGGAAGAACCATTAATCTGTGTACTTTTTTCTGCCTATGGGTACAACTCTGAGTTCAGTCTCTAAATGCCATGCCAGCCCCCAGTTTCATGCTGTACAAGAAGGTTGACTTGAGGCTGGCTTCAACAGTGCAACAGCATTTAAATGGGCTTATTTTAGATTGTGTTATACTGCCCATATAGATGACATATTTCATAGTGCTAACAAAAAACATTTCACGTATCTTTCAGAAATATCTGTGTTATATCATCTAGTATTGTTTGCCAAGGAGTTCTCTCAGTTGCAAAAGCATTGTTTATTCTGTATCAATTGTGAGTTTAAAAAGTAGCTCAAAGGCATCAGTAAATGTTATTATCAAAATTAAGCAAAGACATACTATGAGATAAAAGAGATCAAGTCAAAATATTGCCAATGATACTGATTCTCAGAAATCAAACTTCCTTAATCATTTTTTGTATCGATTAAATTCAAAGTTCACTGACTCTTAAAAAGCAGAAGCATTTTGGAGGGTTTTAACCCCCTCTACTAATTATCTACTTCAGGTTCATTCTGGTCATATAAGAAAATTATTACTAAAAGAACTGCTATTCTAGGGCCGGCCGAGTGGCTCAGTTGGTCAAGAGCTTGCTCAAGAGTTTGAGCTCTGAGCAACATCACTTCGATGCCTGGTCTGAGCTGAGCTGCCAACAGGTGGCAGGTTGGCTCAGCTAATAAATAAATAAATAAATAAATAAATAAATAAATAAACTGCTATTCTTATATGCCACTGAGAAATTTAACAGTATAGTTTTTACCTTATGAAATAAAAAGAATATTTTTTAAATTTAGAAAATAGACTATTAGGTTGAACACAGAGCCCTCACTATAAAACCTTATTTTCATAAATACTATGACAATTCAGCAGTTAAAGGTCGAAACGGAAAAACTATACTTCTAAAAGAGCTAAATACACAGAACCAAAACAATATATCATGGGCATAAAAATATAATATTATTCTACAAAACTAACAATATAGTGAAACAGTATATCAGGAATGTCAATATACTTATCATAAGACACAGAATCAACAATTCTTACACTTTGCCACTATAAGAAAATTGCAAAGAAACCTATTTATGTATTTAAATATAAGAAACAGATATGCATAAAAATCACAAAAGAGTAGCCTGAACATAGTTCACTGTACCATATCTTTACAAGGGTCCATTTGAACTAAGCCTCAGATGATATATATCAAGAAGTTGCCAAAAAGTTCATCAGGACCCTTCCTTTCCCTCTCCTCTTGTTTCCATCCAGGGGAGGGAACTCAGTGTAACTCCAATTACTCTCTGCTCCTTTCCTCACTTCTTCCCCAGACAGGTAGAGTGCTTGCTTACTTGCTTGACAAACTTGGGAAGAATAAGTTGGCATTCTGGCTTAGTTCTGCATTCTTCTCTTGCCTGCTCACATAAATCATACTCTCTCTACTGCCCCTCCATGACATACAAGGTGAGGTCCCAGCTCTGCAGGGAGAAGTTACTGAAGACCCAATCTGGCCAACAACCTGTTGTTACAGCCTGAATCTGGGATCTATAAAGACACCCATTTAGCCCTCACACTAAGCTATGGCTTCTAACTTGGCCATTTTCAATAATAAAAATGATACTTTGACCTCCATCTGTACTCTATTTATTGGGAGTCCCTTGAAAATCACAATACTTAGCAATAGGTAACTCCACTCCTGGGAATTTATCCTAAGGAGCTAAACCCCAAACAAGAAATGCTCTTA